TTAGATTTCACCACTGGGTCTGGTGATCATCGTTTGCAAACTTCCCGGAAGCCCGGATTCACTTAACAACCACTTGTCTTCCTTCACAACTTCAGCGACTCGCTTAACAACTGGGGTAGAAAAAGTCATAAGATGGGGCACAGCTCACTTAGCAAGCGTCTCGCTTAGCCGCAGAAATTTGGGGACTCCGTTGTGGTTGTAAATTGAGGATTTCCATCTATCCTTAATTCCAAATATTTATGGCTATAAATATATACCGTGTTTCCCCGAAAATAAGACCCTGTCTTATGTTTTTTTTGAACCCCGAAATAAGACCCTGTCTTATGTTTTTTTTGAACCCCGAAATAAGCGCTTGGCCTTATTTTGGGGGAGTTCTTATTATTTTGGGGTGCGTGGAGCAAGATGGGGCTCCTCTTGCCGTCTTACCGGATTTCCAACTCTGTCTCCCTAACCAGAGGAAATGGCAGGGACTGGCTGCATATGTGTTTAAATATTTTCAGGGAGGGTTTATTTTTGGGGGAGGGCTTATTTAAGCGCATGCGCTCAAAAGCCCAATTGGGCTTATTATCAGGAGATGTCTTATTTTCAGGGAAACAGGGTATATATCAGTGATGGCTAACCTTTTTGCCATCGCGTGCCAGGAGAGGGGAGGCGGGGGACGGTCGCACGTGCACGTGCGCATGCGCGTGCAAACCCCCCACCCCCACTCCTGGCACATGATGGCCTGGTAGGCCTGTTTTCTTTCTTACCTGGTTCCAGATCCTCTCTATTTATCTGGGAAGAGCGAAATCATCCTTTCTCATTCTCTCAGAGGCCCTCCAAAGGCCTGAAACAGCCCATTTCCCAACTCCCGGTGGAACAGGAAGTGACTTTTTTGCTGTCCCCAGCCTCCAGAGCCTCTCTCGGAGTCTGTAGGAGCCTCTCTAGGAGTCTCTGGAGGCTGGGGACAGCAAAAAACGTCACTTCCTGTTCCACCGGGAATTGGGAAATGGGGCCTTTCAGGCCTCCGAGGGAGTGGGAAAGGCTGTTTTCGCCCTTCCCAGATAAATAGAGAGGATCTGGAGCCAGGTAAGAAAGAAAAACGGGCCTTCCCCACCTCCCACCCCCCAGGCCCTCCAGAGACAGGAAACAGCCTGTTTCCCTACTTCTGGTGGGTCCAGAAGGCCCGAAAATCAGCTGGCCGGTGCGCACATGCGCCCCAGAGCTGAGCTGGCGTGCCCACTAATATGGCTCTGCGTGCCACCTGTGGCACGCGTGCCATAGGTTCGCCATCCCGGGTATATATAGTTTGGCAGTTCGAATCTCACTGTCAGCACTTCAAGCTGCATTTACTCTAGTGCTGACATAAGGAGAAGCGAAGGCGTCTGGAAAGGGACGTTTGACTTTTCACCTACTTATTTTCCCTGGAGATAATATCCCCTAGGAGATGGGATGGGAGGAGGAAATTCCTTTGAGCTGGAGCAGTAGATTAGGGGTAGAGTGACTTGGAAGATGGCCAATGAGTGCAGAGGAGTGGGGAACGGAAAGGGAGGGTTTTGAGTCTGGAAGTCAGTGTTGGCTGCGATGAGTCAGAGCTAGAATCTCGTGCTTAATAAATGGGAGTTTTTCTTCAAAGACTTTGTTTGAAATGCAGTTTATTTGAGACGACCTCGAAACCTGACACTCACGGTTTGCTCAAGGTTGACTCAGCAAGAGAGGGATTGGCCCAAAGTCAACCAGCTGACTTTCCCGTGTAAGGCAGGACTAGAATTCACGTCTCCTGGTGATTGGGTCAAAGTCATCCAACTGGTTTTCTGGCCTGTGGCGGGACTAGCACTCACCGTCTCCTGTTGATTGGCCCGAAGTTACCCAGCCGGCTTCCATGTCTTAAGGCGTGACTAGAACTCACGTCACCAGGTTTCTAGCCTGGTGCCTTAAACCAGATGCCCCCAACCTTTTGAGCACTGGGGACCAGTTCCAGGTTTTTCTGCAGACCTGAGGGGCAGCCTGGTTTCGCATGTTGTCCGCATCTGACAGATGGGGCTTCGTTTGTTTGTGCGAACCAGTTACTGGCATGCCACGGACCAGCGGTTGGGAACCCCTGCCTTAAATCACTTCCATGGTTTATTCTATTCTATTTAGAGTGGTGCGGTGGCCTAGTGGTAGAGCTCTCGCCTCACAATCAGGAGTCTGTGAGTTCGATCCTGGGTAGGGTCAGATATTTCTCTCTCTGGGCACAATGAGAATATATCTGCTGAACAAAACTCTGCATTGGCGACAGGAAAGGCATCTGGCCAGTAAATACTCAGCTCCATTCAGTTGCCCAGACTTTACCCCGCAAGGATTATGGGGTCGTGAAATGAAGATGATAATGATGATTTATTCTATATATTTTTTTTTGCTTTAATTTATATGCCGCCCTTCTCCGGAGACTCAGGGCGGCTTACAATGCTTAAGCAATAGCCTTCATCCTTTTGTATATTTTATACAAAGTCAGCTTATTGCCCCCCACAATCTGGGTCCTCATTTTACCCACCTTAGAAAGGATGGAAGGCTGAGTCAACCTTGAGCCTGGTGAGAATTGAACTCGCAGTAATTGCAGGCAGCTGGTCTTAATCACAATGCTCAGTCTGCTGAGCCACCAGGCTTATAAAAGTACTTCTTTATGAATTACTTTTATAAGCTACCCGTCTCAGTCTTTCAAGGGACTCCGAGCAGCTTGCAATCATAAAAAAAAAAAGCATAGATGTAAAAACATGAAAATCAGGTTTAACAACAATTAAATAAAGAAAGGGTCAATTGTGCATGCTCTCCGTAGATCGCATTTCTGGGAAAGGAAAAGGGGGTTTATTTAATTATAAAGGGGGATTGCTCTGGTTCTTCATCCTAAAATCCCTCCCCCCCAATAATATGGATTTATACAGGATGAGTCACTCTAGGAAGACTGTCTCGTTTTCCTTTAGTTCTGCCTGATATTTCTCAGCGTATCTCTGCACCTGAGGCTTAAATGGGCCTCAGGTAAATCAGGCCAGGAAACGCGCCCCTCCATCACATGATGAGCATCATCATCGTACTTCGGAGCATCTTATAGTCCGAAAAATACAGTAATTGAAACAGATTCATGAAAATACTGTCTCATAAACTGCAAAGCTTGCAGTCTTAAACTTAAAACGTAGGAAAAATCAAAAGAAGCCAACTCAAATAATATTTTCATCTCTATCCTAAATATAATTTGTAGTCAGAAGTAATAATCCTGCTATTGGAAGAGAAAAGCAAGCAGAAGTTGGCTATTTTACTAAATATCTTCAATTGTTTTTAATGTTATTTATTGTCCAAGCCAGATGCCGATCTGGCCTGCTGGATGGTATTTGTAAAGTAATAAAGATATTTGTAAGAGGGGGGGGGGGGAAGAATCAATCATTGTTTTCTGGCAAACATATTTTTTTGCCCCCATTTCCTATTGAGTTTCTGTTGTGTGCACCTTAATTTATAGGGAGTGGAATTGTTGCACCTGCTTTTCTGATGGGCTTAATGCGGAGACGTGGTTATCTGTAATTACAGCCTGATTTTTTTAAAAAACAAACAAACAAACATAAGAGGTCACCGTTAAGTTGCTTCTCCATTCCTCTAGAAGACTTTAGGGAAAAAGAAAACGGCTCTGCAGAGAATCCCGCCTCTGGCTCAGCAGGATGACGTCTTCCATTCCATATTGGCTTCTTTGGCTGTTAAAAAAAAATCAAAGCACACTTGATTTTTTACACACTCTTCTTCCTCCTCCTCCTCCTCCTCCTCCTCCTCCTCCTCCTCCTCCTCCTCCTCCTATCTTCCTCCTCTTCCCCTTCTTCCTCCTCTTTCTTTTTCTCTCCTCCTCTTCCCCACCTCCTCCCCTCCTCCTCCTCTTCCTATCCTCCCCCTCTCCTCTCCTCCTTCTCCTTCTCCCATCCTTCTTCCTCCTCTTCGTCTTTGTCTTCCTGCTCCCCCTCCTCCTCCTCCGGCTCCTCCTCCCATCCTCCTACTCTTCCCCTTCCACCTCCTCTTTCTCTCCTCTTCCTATCCTCCCATTCTCTTCTTCCTTTCCTTCCTTTTCCTCCTCCTTCCTCCTCCTCTCCATCCCATCCTCCTCTTCTTCCTCTTCTCCTCCTTCTCCTTCTCCCGTCCTTCTCCTCCCTTTTCTCTTTGTCTTCCTCCCCCCTCCTCTCTCCTCCTCCTTTCCTGCCCTTCTCCTTCCCTTTGTCTTTGTCTTCCTCCCCCTCCCGCTCCTCCTCCTCCTGCTCCTCCTTCTCCTTGCAAACCCCACTCCCTTCTACCACTGATGATGTTCCCTAGTTGGGTCATGAAATGTCTGCAAGAAAAGCAACAAGCTCAGAGAGCACCAAGGAACCCACCATCCTCCTTCTCCACCACTCCGCAAACCCCATTCCCTCTAACATTGTTGATGTTCCCTAGTTGAGTCATGAAATGTCTGCAAGAAAACAACCAAGCTCAGAGAGCACCAAGGACCCCATGGTTCCCTCCTCTTCTTCTCCTCCTTTTCCTCTTCCAAATATCTTCAGTTTTCTTAGAATTTTTGAAAGTTGGCCAGATACAGCTTTATAGCATTGCTTGGAATTGTGTTTGGTTGTCAGAAAAAAACCCAGCCAGGTAAATTGGCGACGGGAAGGTAGGCTGACCTCACCTGTGACAGTACTCCTATGCTCCCCAAATTCCAGATATGCCCACTTGGGCAAAACGACTTCCCTCCCCTCATATGGCTAAAATCCCCTTGGACCCAAAGGAAAAGAGGTTAAGCAAAGTTTGCTTGTGTGAGATAGTCATTTATGTGTTTGCCTTGGAGAAGGATCCTAAAGAGGCTTGTAATCTGGCCAGGGGGGGATTTGTAGATAATCTGGCAATACAGCAGATTAACCCATTTATTTATACCTATCCCCCAAAGGAGCGTCTTTCAAAAAAACCCCGAAAGTCATCTGAAATTGCCTGCAAATCCGCCCCTCGGTTTCTAATGTGATTTTCATCCTTTTAAGGAGACCCCAACGACAACTTGATCGAAGGTGGCGGGACAAAGTTTGTCTGTAAACCAGGAGCTCGGAACATCACGGTCATCTTCCACCCACTTCTGAGGTACCCCCCCCTCTGCTTCCTTTCTCAGACAGACAGAGAGACAGAGAGACAGACGATGTATGTACGGTGTGCGTGTGTGTGAGTGTAGGTGTAGACAAACAGACTGATAATTGATGGATGAATGGATGGTGATTGAGAGAGAGAGAGAGAGAGAGAGAGATGAGAGAGAGAGAGATGAGACAGACAGACAGACAGACAGATAATAGATAAAAGATAGATAGATAGATAGATAGATAGATAGATAGATAGATAGATAGATAATGGATGGATGGAAGGAAGGAAGGAAGGAAGGAAAGAAGAAAGGAAGGGAGGGAGGAAAGAAAGAAATATAGAGATAGATAAAGAGAGAAGGGGGATAGATGATAGATAGATAGATAGATAGATAGATAGATAGATAGATAGATAGATAGATAGATAGATAGATAGATAGATAACCGTGTTTTCCTGAAAATAAGACCGGGTCTTATATGAATTTTTGCTCCAAAAGGCACTTTAGGTCTTATATTCTGGTTAGGTCTTATTTTGGGAGATACAGTATTAAATGCACCCATCTGGCTGACAAGCTTACTTGGGCTTATTTTGGGGAGTAGGGCTTATATTACGAGCATCCTGAAAAATCACGCTAGGACTTATTTTCCGTTTGGGTCTTATTTTGGGGGAAACAAGATAGATATAGATAGATAGATAGATAGATAGATAGATAGATAGATAGATAGATAGATAGATAGACAGACAGACAGATAGATGGACAGACAGACAGACATAAACAGAGAGATGAAAGATGATATAGATATAGATGGATGAATGGATGGATGGACGGATGTGGATGGAGAGATAGAGAGATGATAGATAGATAGACAGACAGATCAATGATAGGGAGAAAGGATGGATGGATGAATAGAAAAATGTTATAGATATAAATATAGATACACAATTATAGTATAAATGTATAAATATAACCTTTTTTCTGGGCTTGTTGGGACGTTTCATTTCTTTTGTGTGTATCTCTGGGCTGTTTATTGCAAAAACCACGTAATTTGGCGTTGTATCCTTCAGTATCTCAAACACTTTTCTTCCATTAGAAAGAGAGATAATGTCAAGTAGCTAGCCCTTAACGTTTGCATACATGGGCTTAAGGATGTGGGGGACAATATTTGTAGAAAACTCAGGACAAGAGGTTTCTTTTATGCCTTCTTCAGAATCCATTTGTCCAGATGTGAATGTTTTACTTTAGCTTCCAGCATTTAATTCATGTTCTGTGGAATGATGCGGTGACCTAGAGGAGGAGCTCTGGCCTCAAATCAGGAGTTGTGAGTTTGAGCCTGGTAGAGGCAGATAATTCTCTCTCTGGCACAATGAAATAGATCTGCTGAACAAAACTCCGCATTGGCGACAGGAAGGGCATCCTGCCAGTAAACACTCAGCTAGCTCCATTCGATTGCCAAGATATTCAGTTATCTACAAGGATTATGTCGATAAGAAGATGATGATGGTTGAGTTAATTTCATGTTCTCTAGGTTTAATTCAGAGGTGGTTTTTTCTCTTTTTATTAATTTATTCTGATATAGAGATGGTGACAATCAAAGTACATCTACCATCTTCAGGCCTTGGAAGTGCTCGATAGCTTGAAAAAAATGGCAATCCAGTCTCAACTTCTGGCTGACTGTGCCACCAATCATAATAATACTAACGATGTTCTCAGCAAGATAGGTCCCTTTGCAAGATACAAATCTTGGACTTTCCCCACTAATTATTGCTCTTTTAAGTCTTTAAAACACAACAATTATTCCGCCTCCCATCTCGCCAGCAGAATACAAGCATTAAAAGAGTTTATCATCAACGCTTAAAACAATGAAAGCATAAACATAATGAAAATAAGTAGAAGACAACTTATTGCAGGAGATGTGAGTAGGAAATGCCAAATGTTGACAGATCCTTCCATCCCTCAGCCAACCAACCATCAACAGGAATTGGAAGATCTTGTACAGTCATTTCTGCCATCATGATTCAATACAAACTCTAGGCCAGGGTGAGCAACGATAGCAACTCTGTGGACTTCAACTCCCAGAATTCCCACCTCTGGCCTACAGTAGGCCATATGCTTTTATATTGTTCCTTATGTAAAGGATCCTTATATATCCTGTTTTGAAGAATTTTAATGCAGGCTGGGGAATTCTGGGAATTGGAGTCCACCCATCTTAAAGCATGCTTGACTGGGGAATTCTGGGAGTTGAAGTCCACCCATCTTAAAGCATGCTGGCTGGGGAATTCTGGAGATTGAAGTCCACCAATCTTAAAGCATGCTTGACTGGGGAATTCTGGGAGTTGAAGTCCACCCATCTTAAAGCATGCTGGCTGGGGAATTCTGGGAGTTGAAGTCCACCAATCTTAAAGCATGCTTGACTGGGGAATTCTGGGAGTTGAAGTCCACCCATTTCAAAGCATGCTGGCTGGGGAATTCTGGGAGTTGAAGTCCGCCCATCTCAAAGCATGCTGGCTGGGGAATTCTGGGAGTTGGAGTCCACAGTTCTTAAAGCTGCCAAGTTTGAAACAAATCTGACATATGTCATGGGTATTGACTGGGGATCACGAACACTTCAGATACATTACAGGAGAGTTCCCATCATCATATTGGGTAGGATTTATGAGACTTCTAATCCAAGAACCTGGAAGAGCATCAGACTTGAGAGGGGTGTGCAAAGTTTTTAAAGTTTGGATGCTAAAAAAACCAATGCATCCTCTAGGCATCTCTTTAAAACAACTAAATGAGTTGGTATTAAATATATTTCTTCTGTACAACGACAGCTGAGTGTTAACATTTTAGAAGTTTTTACCCTATGGAACAATCTACCCCCAGAGATACGAGTGATCTCCGACCTCCGGACTTTTCGTCGGGCCCTAAAAACTTATTTTTTTCAGCTAGCCGGTCTGTCCTGATTTTAGAGTTAGTTTTAAAATTTTAATATTTATTTTAATTGACAAGTTTTAAATTCTGGGCCAAATTTATAAATTATTTTAATTTTGTTTTTTAACTGTGATGTTTGTATAGATGTTTTTTATCTGGCTGTTCACCGCCCTGAGTCCGAAAGAAGAAGGGCGGTATAGAAATTCGAATAAATAAATAAATAAAATAAATAAATAAGTCAGTGCAATCCTAGGCTGCATAAATCAGAGGGATAGAATCAAGATCACGTGAAGTGTTAATACCACTTTGTGGTATTGGTAGATATGAGTAGGCCTCGGCCTACTCCACAGTTGGAATCCTGCATCCAGTTTTGGTCGCTAAGATGTAGAAAAAGATGTGGAGACTCTAGAAAGAGTGCAGAGAAGAACAGCAAAGAAGATTAGAGGACTGGAGGCTAAAACCTATAAAGAATGGTTGCTGGAATTGGGTATGTCTAGTTTGATGAAAAGAAGGACCAGGGGAGACATGATAGCAGTCTTCCAGTATTTGAGGGGCTGCTACAAAGAAGAGGGGGTCAAGCTATTCTCCAAAGCACCTGAAGGCAGAACAAGAAGCAATGGATGGAAACTAACCAAGGAGAGAAGCAACCTAGAACTAAGGAGAAATTTCCTGACAATGAGGACAATTACCCAGTGGAACAACTTGCCTCCAGAAGTTGTGAATGCTCCAACACTGGAAGCTTTTAAGAAGAGATTGGATAACCATTTGTCTGAAATGCTGTAGTGTCTCCTGCTTGAACAGGGTTGGACTAGAAGACCTCCAAGGTCCCTTCCAACTCTGTTATCCTTTTACTTTGCTAATCTATCCTCACGTCTCTTTCCTTCAACCTTGATGGCCAATGCCCTCCCTTGCCTTCTTTTGGTTGCAGCTTTGAGTTGTCTTTCTGAGCCCCCTTTGGCTGCAAACAACGTCATTCATTATGGATCAGGAGCGGAGAAAAGTTTAGTGGTGGCTGGCAGCAAATGGCTTATGATTTGCTGCCAGTTATGATTAATAAGCAGCCCAGCCGAACGCTCCAGCGTTGGCTGCAAGCTAAGCTGATTTCTTGATAAACAGGTTTTGGGCTTTACAAGCCCCGCCAAACGAAGCCTCTTCTGTCTTCCCAAGCAGAGTGTCAATTATTAAAAGGCATTAGAAATTCTTAAGGTGGAAACTCATCAGGGGCTGCTAGGCCTTGCAAATATCTCAGCTGAGGAAGATGGAAGATGGGAAACTTAATAGAGCACCGTTCGGGTTTAATCTCCCCACTTGTGTCTTCCCGCCCGCAATGATTAATTTTCTTTTTATCATCAGTGTCTGAAGCAGCAGCAGCAGCTCTCCTGCTCAATTGTTAATAGGTTTTCGCCATCTTGCACTCTTTTTTTTACTTTTGGGCAATTTAATTCTGGGCCCTGAGTAGCGGTGCGGCGGCCTAGAGGTGGAGTTCTGGCCTCACAATCAGGAGGCTGTGAGTTCGATCCTAGGTAGAGGCAGATATTTCTCTCTCTCTCTCTGGGCACACTGAAAATATATCTGCCGAACAAAACTCCTCATTGGCGACCAAGAAGGGCATCCGGCCATTCAAACATTCTGCTAGCTCCATTCAGTTGCCCAGACTCCAGCCCGCCAGGGATTATGGGGTCGTTAAAAGAAGATGATGAATTCTGGGCCCTGAGTGAGTAGACTTTTAAAAATCTGTGTTTTTTTGTTTTTTTTAAATAATCGCTGATTGAACGATGTGCGATCGAGTTGGTGCTTGACTCTGAGCAACGACGTAGATTGATCTTAGCCGGGATGATCTCTTACGAATGAAGGCGTAAGAGGATAACGCGTCCCAGGATAACGTTGCAGGATCCAAACTGGGTCGGTCACCGGGACCAGAGATTTAGTCCTCTGAGCTTTCGGATTCACGCTGGAGCCCATCCTCAGGGAACATCTCTATAGCAGAGGGTGATAGAGAGAAGTTGCCTGGGGATCCCAAAGGGCTTCCCCCCCCCACCAAGAGGCACCTGGACTTTCTGATTTTTCTTTGAAGACGTTTTGCTTCTCATCCAAA